TTAAAAAATATTTTTTCTTTATTGTTTAGAGAGAGAGGAAGGGAGAGGGAGAGAGAGAGAGAAACATCAGTGAGAGAGAACATTGATTGGCCATCTCCTGCATGCCCCCCACTGGGGATCAAACCCACAACTTGGGCGTGTGCCCTGACCAGGAATCGAACTGATGACCTCTTGGTACATGGGTCAGCGCCCAACCACTGAGCCACACCAGCTGGGCTCTTCAGTGGATTTCCATTGCCCTTGGCATGAAATCCAAATCTTTACTAAGGTTCACGAGACGCCTGTGATCAGGACCCTCCTGCCCTTCTAACCTCATCAAGGTGCTGGCCACTGACAAGCTGACCTCCTCCTCCATCTGACACGCTGACCTCCTCCTCCACCTGACATGCTGACCTCCTTAGCTCTTCCCTTGGCACTTTTTCAGCCTTCAGAGTTCAACCTAAAAGCTGCCTCCTGCTTGGAGCTCAGGAAACTCCAGCCGAGTGTTGAATGCATGAGCCTGCTCTCCCTCCATCCCTGCCCTTTCCCACCGGCTGAGCCATTCACTCCCGTGGAAACATGGTCTGTCCATTTAGGGAGACTCAGTGTATCAGCCTCATAATCGGAACCATAGACTTGGACTGTACACAGTTATGATTTGAACAAGTGTTTATTCATGTTGATGTTCAAAGAACACTTAGTTTTACGTTTGTTCTGGTTGTAATGAGGAACATAAGGCCCAGAAAATGAGAAGATGATGAAATGTTCTTTTGTTAATTTTTTTTCTCTTTATTGATTTTAGAAAGAGGAAGGGAGAGGGAGAGAGAGAGAAACATCGATGAGAGAGAACATTGATTGGCTGCCTCCTGCATGCCCCCCACTGGGGATTTGGCCCACAACCTGGGCATGTGCCCTGACTGGGAATCGAACCGAGACCTCTTGGTGCAGGGGTCGATGCTCACCACTGGGCCACACTGGCCGGACTGAAATGCCCTTTTGTCATAAAAGGTGTGCGAGCCCCTGGAAGGGCGCATGGACAGCCTTCCTTGCTTCTCCATCTCTGCCTCACCTGCTTTACTGTTTCCTCTCCTTCCGTCTCAGGCAGTTTTTAGCCCATGACTTGGTTTTCTTTTTCCTTTTCCCTGCCTTGTCTCCCCTTACTCCTTCCTTCCTTCTTTCCTCTCTTTCACAAATCGCCTCTTTCTATTTTCCTTTCCTGCTTGTAGTTTAAATCAGGCCTTAGTGGGAGCAATGTCATAGCCGCCTATGTGACATCAGTTCTTTGGGTTTTGAAAAGACCAGAGAAAATGCAAGTGTTGCCTGAGCCCTAAAATGTCCTTGTAGACAGAGCCGGTGTCATGCTCCGTTCTCCATCGCTGCATTTTGTCTCCTGTTGATCAGTTGGCCTGTGGACCTCAGAATTCTGAATATGAGAGGAAGCTTTTCTATCCAGTCCTGGCTCAGGAATGACGTTGTATGTATCATACCACAAAGGAAGAGAAAAATAGTGACCATTTTCTCCCCATTACTTGTAAGAGTGTTAGAAGCATCCATTGGTTTATGTACTGTGTCAAAAAAAAAAAAATCACACTAGCTTTCAACAACTCTCAATGACACTTAACCAGCCCCAAAGAACTTCTTTTGTAAACAACGAATGCCGTTTACTTCTGGTTCTTCCCGCTGTCCCTTTGTAAAGGACACAGTTCCTGATGTCAGCATGTGGGATTTCCTGGGGGCTGCTTGGTCCTCCATCCCAGCTGCAGGTCAATAGCAGTTGAATTGGGCGGTGTTCCTTTTCATTATGAGGAACACCACGCCTTGTCCCTTAGACGTGGCTACAGGAGGTGCAAACAGCTTACTGAAATCACACTCTGACCTGGAGGAGCACCAGGCACCGGTCTCAGTGTGTGAACCTCCGTAGCCAAAAACAACGTGCTGATGGTGCGGACTTGCTTTGGAATGTAGGAGACGTAGTTGGGGATTACGTAGGAATGTGTGACACTGTTGCAAAGAATGGTTTCTCGAATTTTTCACGAAGGGATTTTAGGGCCCAAATACAGTCTTATTAAGCAAATAAAGCGAATGCAGAAACCTTTGTTAGAGTTGTATCCAGCAACTTCGGGGCCTGTGAACAGGAGGGAATAGAAATACTGTCTAAACGATCAGACTTGCCAGCACTTTCACACGTGGATGCTTTGAGGCCCACCTGCATGCCTCTCACTCAAGGTGATGGTTACCTGAACGATGCTATTACTTGCATGACTTACATTCGTTTTCCTACCAGACCGTGGTTCTTAAGTGGAAGTATGTGTCAGAATGATTTCGGAAGTCTTTTTCAAAAACATGCCTGCCGAGGGCTCGTCCCAGACTATTGATTCTGAATCACTGGTGTCAGAGCCTGGAAATAAGTACTTGGAAAGAGCCCTTGCACAGTTACGTAGCTTCTGGTTGCAAAACCATCTAGGGACCACTACTCTGGACTGGAAGTTGGTGAGGCAGAGACCAGAGGTGACTCACCTTTGTGACCTTAGCGTTTACTATGGTTCCTGGTCTGTGGACAAGAGCTCAGTACATGGCCATTGAGATCATGCAAGCAAATGCTCTAGAAAGCGATGTGATGTATATTTTTAACTGCACATTTTTTTTTTAAATTTCTTCCAGCTAAGTACATTTACTAGCTGAGTATAATTTTATTTATTTATTTATTTTATCCTCACCCGAGGACATTTTTCCACTTTTTGTTCAGATAGAGTGGGAGGGAGAGAAAGGAACAGAGAGAGAGAGAGAGAGAAACATCGACGTGAAAGGGACACATCGAGGGGCTGCCACCCGCACGACCCCAACCAGGCCGGGGACAAACTGCAACCAAGGTACATGCCCTTAGCGGGAACCGAACCCGGGTCTCTCTGGACTGCAGGCCGACGCTCTAACCACTGAGCCAAACTGGCCAGGGCGCTGAGTATAATTTTAAAAATAATCTTTGGACAGAGGTCTCTTCTACAGAATGACAAAGCCAGGTGTGGCCTAATTGCCTAGCGAGCAGGCAGATGATAAAGACGTGAATAACAATGTGAAAGTAGCGAACACAGCAGGGGAATGAAAAACACCTTTATCATAAGAAATCCCTAATTTCCCTCTCTTATTTTCTGTGTAAAATTGTATTTTCGAATGGGAACTCCGGTAGCATCTCTGGACCAGGTTCCATTTCCCTATCAAGGCTAATCGCAGACCGTCAGTAATGATTCTGCAGGAAACCAGACTCTGTGCCTTCAAATGCTGGCTGCTCCTCCACGCTGGCTGAGAAGACATTCTGTCGCCCCTCTGTCATACACGTACCCGTGTCCTACTCCCCGCTTGCCACTTCCCCATGGCTTGTCCCGCCGAGATGAGCTCTCAGGGACCTGGTCATGGTAGTGTAAACTGGGGCACAGGTGGACTGGTGGAGCTCAGAGGGGCCGGGAGATGGAGGGAAAGCTCGTGCGTACGGGGGATCCGAACCAGGAGGTGTTAGGAGGAGGGGTGGTCCAGGCAGAGGGGGCAGAGTTGGGGCGAGCGGGGTGAGTGAAGGTGGCTGGGAGGACGGGCGCAGCGTCTCCACAGTGCAGGGCCCCGACGGAGGAACAGAGAACTCTGCCCAGGAGGTGCCCTTGCCCAAACCTGCTCCTCTGTCCTAAAGCCAGTTTACCAGAGTGTCCAGTAGGAAATCTTAGGAAGAAGGCAGCTAGTCTCTGTGGATGTAAACTGCACCCCGAGTTAGGCCTGCGGCGCCCATCTTCACTGAGACACCGAGAGACACTGGAAGCGAGGTGCGTCTCCACGCCACGCGGACGCACGTTCCTTTCCCATCCGAGCCTCGATGCTTGTGAGCTGGACTCAGTCCTCTGCTGTTTGGAGTCTGTCTGTCTGTCTGTCAGAACGGTCTCTTGCCTTCCTGAGACTGCGCACTTCGCAGACTCCAGATCTGCGTGCTCCTCCGGACATGAGGGGTGGTGACCACGCTGTCGCATTGCCTGAGACGGTCTCACCCCCTGCCTGTGTTCCACTGTAATCAGGAAAAGCACCCTGTTTTGATCCGAGAAGAGCCCCAGTGTTGCTAACCAAGTCCCTGGTCACCCACGTTGGGGGCTGTTATCCTTACTTAACACAAAGGACATCGGGGCTCAGAGAGGCCTGTCGGAGTCATTTCACCACCTTACCCGGAGCACCTTTTATGGGTAACACAGGAGTCTTCTCCTGGGTGATGGGGGTGCTAATAAGTAGTTAAATTAAAAATTACTTACAAATGAATATTCTTATTAGAAACAGAGACACGCTCTTAGTGAAATAATGATAGCATCAATACAAAGCCCTTGTAGTATTTGTTTCTTTACTCCAGTGGGAGGTCGTTGAATGTTAAGTACAACACGTCGATGCTGCTGTGATCAATATTCCACTACGATTGATCCTGTCTTTTGAATTGGTTGAAACCACGTAACTTAAATAGATATTGTGTGGCCAAATTGGTGATCGAATAAGATATTCGCTGATAAACCCAACACGGAATAGGGGCCTGGATGCATGCCCACCTGTGAAGGCACAGTGACCTGGCCGGGCAGGCTGGTGATGGGGCCGGGCCTTGGGGATGTTCAGCGCTGTGACTGCCCACAGCCAGGAGGCAGGAGCGTTAGGAGGTGAAGGCAGGTGCTTCCCGGGAGAAGATGGGTTTAAATCAGAGGAATTAACTCTAACATGTTAGAGCAGGGATGGATTTGAGAGAAAAGCGGCCCCAGAGGACAGGGGCAGGAACGGGGGCATCTCCGGGCTGGCACGTGGCTGGCCGCTCCTTCTCCTGGGCCTTGGGCGTTTCTCCGGACCCCCGGGAGGGTGTCCTGTCTGAACCACCTGAGGCCACTGTACACGCTTGTTCTTTCATCTGACCATGTCTTTCATCTTGTTGGCCACACTTGAGTGCTGCCTCAACGACACTCTTATAAAAAGAATGTCGGTCACACCACCTTCCCTCTTGTGCCCCTTTCTTGCAGGTTTTGTGAATGACTCCGTCACGAAATCCATCGTGGCTCTGCGCCTGACTCTGGTGGTGAAGGCCAGCACCTGTGTGCCGGCGGGGAGCAGTGCCCGTGACTCGGAGTGCTCGGGCAAAGGGGCGTGCACCACGAGGCCGTCGGAGGTAAGGGCAGCGGGGGCCTTAAGAAACATATATTGACATACAGGTGTCAGAAAAAGCCCCCCACATTTCTGGTTTCAGTAGATGTTAGTTTGCAGCGCGCACACACACGCATGCACGCACATCTCCATGTGATTTCTAGAGAAACTGCATTGAGCGTGTGCAGTGCTGGCTAGCCCTTCCTGCTTTGGTACGAACTAGAGTCTGTGAGCGGTGAGAAGTCGTCCTCGTGTCTAGTAGCTGAATCGAGAGCAATGGACGGAAGGAAAGGTAAGCGCAGAGCCATTTATTTCCCAGCTGTCCCACGATCCCCTCCTTGGACTGCATGCCTCATGCTGACAGCGGTTCCAGAAGTGCAAGTAAGAGAGGGATGGACAAGAGGCAGGGACGAGAGGCTGACATTATGTTTCACCTTTTGGACCAGCATCATCAACACCGTGGAAGACCTGAGTCTTGTTCCCCGTTTTCTTTGGTAGCTCAGGTCCCAGGGGCAGGGGGCAGGGGGCAGGGGGCAGGGGGCAGGGGTCAGGGCTGAGTACAGTTTCTCCTCCTCGTTTTCTGGTTAGTGACGGGGTCCAGAAGTCAGACCAGCAAAGGACTGGAGCAGCCACAGAGGCCAATCACCATCAGCCTGGGGCTCCCGTCAGACGTTGGCAGATGGACCCCAGGCTCCACCTGAGCGCACCAGGGGCGGGAGCCTCTGCCCTGACCAGGGGCCCATTCCGGGAGGACACAGTCCCTCCTACCACTTGTATTTCTGCGTCGGGCATCTGCTCGCCTCTCCCCAGTCCTACACGTCTTTCCAGCGGAGCTCACTTAAGCAGAAGTGGGTCCCACGATAGAAAAAGAGTGTGATTCGTTTCAGACCAATTTTAAGGGTAGCATGGGTCCATTTTCCTTGGCGACGCCTCCTTGTGTAACATCGGCACCTTCAGTAGCAGTGGTGTGACCTGGGCCAGGTGGAAGGAGTGGAGCACCTGGGGAAAGGGACGTTGGAAGACACTGCTCGTGTCATCTGGAAACAGTGATTTCGATGTACGTTAGGTGTGATATTGCAGTGGCTCACACTTACATTTTTCCGTAAGCTATCCCCTGTAGGGGGCAGAATGTCCTCAGAACCCGAGAAAGCAGCGGGAAGTATAATTTCTGCTGAGTCTCAGAAAGGAACACAGTCGTAAACCAAAGCCAGAGATGAACTCCCCGGGGTGGGGAGCGTGCCTGGCCTGAAGCCAGGGGTGAAGCATGAGGTTCCCATCACGAGCCGAGCCTGCCCCGTGGGTGGGTTTCCTTCTGTCTCCGCCACTGGACCCAACGCTTCTCTTTCTTGAGGGGAAGCTTCATTTATCAGCTGACTTTATGGGGAGCAAAGGACGGCGCGGGCGTTTCTCTGCGCCGGTCAAGGTGAGGGCACTGACTTGAGAAGAGATGATGAAACAGTGGGAGAGTGTCGGCCCTTCCCAGTGAGGCTGCGAAGAGGGGACACAGGGTTCTTCCCCAAATCCATTCATACTGTTTCCAGTGGGCGGTTCTGGGGCCTGATGAGCCCTCACAGCGATCATATCGGCGAAAGAGAAACGTCTTAGACCAGGAACAGAGAGCTGATCGCAGCATTTAGGACTGATGCCGGGGTTGGGATTCCCCGTGAGCTGCTCTCATAACGGACGGCCCTTCTGGGGAAGCCTTCGTTCACGGAGCCGGCACCACGCGATCCCGAAACACATTGTCTGCCGCAGCCCCAGGGGTCTCAGCTGCAGGACGGCTCCAGCTGAGAGGCTGCCTGGCGCCTTGGAACCCTTGCGGGCGGGGGGAGGCCGGGCAGTGGTAGCCCCTGGCGGGCGGCGGGGAAGCTGGCCGAAGCACTTTGTGCTCCGTGACAAAAAGGACTCCCGAGCCTTAGTGAGGAATCCGTGCTCATTTGAGCAGAGCACCGCAGAGGAAACGTGTCCTCATGACGGCACCAGCTCCTTTGAAGAGCTTTGCCCCGCCGGAGAAGACACCTCCGCCCTCTGTCCCACCTCCCAGCTCCACGCGTGGCTTCTGGAGTCTGGGGCCTCTGCTGTTGATTTGGTCAAAGCTCCCGTGTACCTTCCGTGGCCAGTCATCTAATCTGAGCCGTGAGAACGACCCGTGGGGACTGGACCCAGTGGTTAGACCGAAACTACCGCGTCCACTCACAGACCTGCATTTTCTTGTCCTGGGGGGATCATCGGAAGCCGGTCCGGCAGTTGACACAGACGGTGGGCACCCGCCTGCCGCTGGCAGAAGTGGGGACCGGAAGGAGGCCCATCTTCATTGTGTCCACTCGCGTTCCCGTGGCTTCTCGTGGTTATTGTCATGAGTTACAAGCCCTTTGCTAACCTGAAAAGACTGTTATCGTCAAGCTTGTTCCTTTGTACTCTGCGAAAATTAGAACTTATTCCACTCCGTGCAAAAATCTATTCCATAGTATGAGACGGAAAGAGCTATACAGCGGTTTACTGTTTCTAATCATTTCTATAACCTTTTATTAGATCATCCTTCAAAATAAAAGCGGTTCTGTTACTGCCATCATTGGGTGATGGCACTTGTTCTTCTGTCAGCTGGACTTTGGCGAGAGGACGCTGCACGGTTCCGAGTTGATGGGGCTTTGTGATAAAGCTTAGCTTGCTGTTCTGAGATAGCTCGCCGTCCTGGGAGGTCTTTTAAAATATTCACCATAGCACCATAAGGAGCTCTCTGTTTCTGAAAAGTACTTTTATTGCGAGGGTTGACCGATGCTTTCTTTTCCTTATGACATATTTGGACTGTTGGCTGCTACTTCTCTCTGAACTTTGCCAACAAGGTCGGCTGCTGCCTATGTGTTGATTCCTTAATTAGCTGGCAGGTGTGTCAGGGAGGCACACAGGTGATTTCTGCTGTGGGCCTTAGGCTTTGTTTTTTTTTTAATCCTCACCCAAGGATAATTTTCCATTTTTGTTCAGGTAGAGTGGGAGGGAGATAGAGGGAGAGGGAGGGAGGGAGAGAGAGAGAGAGAGAGAGAGAGAGACAGAGAGAAACATCGACTGGTTGCCTCCACACAACCCCAATCAAGGCTGGGGCCGAACCACAACCGAGGTACATGCCCTTGAGTGGAATAGAACCTGCAACTCATTGGTTCTCGGGCTGACTCTAACCGTTGAGCCAAATGGCCAGGGTGGCCTTAAGTATTCTTTAGATCCAGTTAGGTTCCATGGACCCCAACTCTCAAGAGCAAGAGATGTGTAGTAGCTAGTGTTCTTCGGAGAAACAGAACCCAGAGGAGGTAGACATGTGATTTATTTTAAGGAGTTGGCTCGTCGCGGATCCACTCATTGCGGAGTCTCAGTTCGAAATGTAGTTGAGGAGAGGCTGGTGGGGTGAAGCTGGGGAAGGAGCTGCAGTTCAAGTCCGCAGGCAGGCTGCTGGTGAACTAGGAGGAGCTGGTGTTGGGTGAAGTCCAAGGACTGCTGGGAGACTTTCCTCTAGCTTGGGGGAGGTCCGCCTTTGTTCCAGTCAGGCCTCAGCTGGCCAGAGGAGGCTCACCCTCATGATGTAGGGCAATCTGTTTTGCTCAAAGTCTGCTCATTTCAAGGTGAATCTCATCCGAAAACACCCTCGCAGAAACTTCCAGAATAATGCTTGACCCGATACCGAGGCACCATGGCCCAGCCAAGTGGGCATGTGAAGTTCGTCGTCACAAGATCCCCCCCAGTTCACTGCCGTGCCCTTTCTGCTCAACTGCATCCCTTGCCCACAAAAATAAAGGAGCAGTTTTAAATTCCATTTGCCTAGGACTCGCCTGAGGCCCTTGACAAAAAGCCATATTCCAGATCCCTCACTCAGATTCCGGAGCCTTTCGTTGGGCAGCCTGGTGGTTCTGATGCAGAAGTGGCTTGGGGACCATCACTCTGGACATGGAGGTCTCAGGAGCAGGGCCTCATCTCCCCGTTCCTGCCGGTTCCCTCAAGCACACACACCCCGTGTGCTCAGGGATTGCGCTGTTAACAACTCCAAGGGCACAGGGAATTAATCGAAAACAAGATAGGACTGCTGATAACTGATATGATGGTTCAATATGTGCCCCCAAACTGTCTTACTTGGTGGCCCTGGTTTATGTTGATAGATAAATGGGGTCAGGCCTTCCTTCTTAAAGGTCCCTTAGAAATCCCTCCGGCTCCTGCCCTCGGGATCCATCACCTTTCGGCTGTTTGGTCGGCTGCTGGAGCTGACTGCTCAGACTGTGTTTGGAGAGTTGAGCTGGCCCGAGCGCAAAGGCCCTCATGAGACCTTGAAAAGGGACTGTGACCTGGTGACCTGGTGAGAAAGAAAGGGGGTGGGAGGGTCGCAGAGGGAGCCCGTCATAGAATCCAAGAGGCCTTCACTGTGTCCTGGTACCAAAGGCACTAAGGTGTGGTGTCCTTTCCACAGGCTGTCCACGTGGTGGGCTGGGTCCCTGGGCTCTGCCCACCGCGGAGGGTTCTCCCTGCAGGTGCCGAGACTCAGCAGGAGAGGGGCAGCTCCTGTCCACGTGGTGGGCTGGGTCCCTGGGCTCTGCCCACCGCGGAGGGTTCTCCCTGCAGGTGCCGAGACTCAGCAGGAGAGGGGCACGTTCTGTCCACGTGGTGGGCTGGGTCCCTGGGCTCTGCCCACCGCGGAGGGTTCTCCCTGCAGGTGCCGAGACTCAGCAGGAGAGGGGCAGCTCCTGTCCACGTGGTGGGCTGGGTCCCTGGGCTCTGCCCACCGCGGAGGGTTCTCCCTACAGGTGCCGAGACTCAGCAGGAGAGGGGCAGCTCCTGTCCACGTGGTGGGCTGGGTCCCTGGGCTCTGTCCACCGCGGAGGGTTCTCCCTGCAGGTGCCGAGACTCAGCAGGAGAGGGGCAGCTTCTGTCCACGTGGTGGGCTGGGTCCCTGGGCTCTGCCCACCGCGGAGGGTTCTTCCTACAGGTGCTGAGACTCAGCAGGAGAGGGGCAGCTTCTGTCCACGTGGTGGGCTGGGTCCCTGGGCC